CTGTCCCGGTCCCCCCTCCCATGAGGGGGTCTCCAGCCCCATGAGCGGGAGGGGCTGCTCCCTTCCTCCCCTTCGCCGGCCTTGACTGTTCACCGCTGGAGCTTGGCACGTGCTCGGGCAGCTGCCCATCCCAACCCAAAGCTTAGGGAAAAGGAAGACCCTTACCAAATGCAGGAGGCCGGCTTTGCAATTAACACCGCGCTGCCGACACTTCGCAGGAGAACTTCTGAGCATGCCCACCAGAGCCAGACAGAGGCCTCCGAAGTGGGAATCACGCCCCAAGGAGGCAGTCAGCTTGCTGAGGGGATCAGAGCTGGGCCGTGCTTGAGAAGAGCCAGATGCATCCCGACCGCATTCCCACCCGGCAGCGGCGGCGGCAGTTCAAAGCAGGCAGTGGCAGTTCCCTGCCTTGCAGGCGATCAGCTGGAGACCAGCCATCCATCACCGCTGGCCCAGTCGCCCGGAGCCAGGGCATCTTCGCCCCCCCTTGGGGCAAGACGGGTCTGTGCCGCTTGGGCAGGCAGGGGGGTTCGCGCTGCCCATGTCATCACCCGCCCCACCCCAAGGGCTTTTTTCCAGGCCCATTCATGCTGCAGCTCAACCTTAGCTGGCACCGAGTATGTGCAGATTCAAAATGTCTCTCTCTGGTTTTTAGCCTGCATTAACTGCACCCACCCACGCATTAAAGCAGCACGTGCGATTTTTGTGCACGGAGACGCACGAACTGGGCCTTCGGAGCATTTCCCAGCGCTTCATGCCTGCTTCGGGCGTGCTTCAAATGTGTGTAGCAAACAGTCGCTCACCCTATCTACTTATCTACCTATCTATCTAAATTTAAAGCTTTTCTATACGCTCTGACTACAACAATCTCAGGAGGGTCTTACAATAAAAGCAGATTAAAGTAAAGCATAGCATCCAATAAATTAAACCCAAATCACAGCCTACTCAGCCTTAAAATAATGGGTGAATACAAAGGTTTTGGCCTGGCGCTGAAAGGAATTGGTGATTTTAAGATTAGAACTAGGGACACGCTCTGAATTTGTCCCAGTCCTGAAATGCATCAAGGTCCATTTGGAAAGCTTCAGAGGGCACTGGAATTGAAGTGGACCTTCCTGGAAAGATGCACTCTGAATCGAACTGTCTGGAAGTCTCGGAAGTAAACTGGACTCGGGGGGACAGAGAGTCAGCCCATCTGCCTGCAACAAGGACACAGCTCTTCGCAAGTCCAAGAAAAGCAGAGCGTGGGAAAGGCGGCAGTTGCGTGGCCAACAGCTCTCCCTGCTAATCCCAGTGGACAGCTGAACCAGGGCTTGCCAATGCCAGAACTTCGGGGAAGGGATATTGAGGTAATATATTGCGGGAGGAAATCAGAGTTCGGCGCTTTTTGCCACAGCTCTGTCCCAGGGCCAGAAATGCTCCAGCCCTTCAGCTCCCGGCCCTGCCCGATCACGCTTCCAGGGACTTGGGCACCATTCCTGACGACTTCCCAGCCTCTGCACCTATCCTTTCTGGAATACCCTGTCTAGCTCTCTCTCTCTAATGGGTGCCATTGTCGGGAGCAAGAGGGTGGCCCTGGGGAAGGCTGCTGAAAACAAGACAAATCGAGTGGCCGTGAGCAGGGCTGGTTCAAAAGCGGTTAATCGTCCTGGGTCTGAGTTTGTGTTTCTTGTTGCCTCACAAATTGTGTGTTGCCTGTGCAGCTGTCAGCCTAACGCCAGCCTCGGGCAAGGGAAGGAGTGTCCCGCCACTATTCTCCAGCAACATTGGCTAGAGAGCTGCGAGATGGAGCACGTGTTTTGAAAGGTGTGTTACAGCAGAGTAGCAACAGAAGGGGGGAATTGTAGACTCCCGGCGCTCACGGTCTATTGACACATTCCTATTCGGTGCAGGAAGAAAGCACGCAACTTCGCCTCCATATGGACAAAGGCCCTGTAAAGTCACCGGAATGGTATTTGCAGTACTTTCTGGTGAAAAAACGGCCAACAACAGAGAAGGAGACAGTCTCTTTTTTCCGTCCTTAGGTCCCACGAGATGGTTCTTCCATCTGTATTGCATTTTTAAGACAGTACTTTTGAACACATGCAGGTTTTAGTGATTCTCTTTCTTGTATCTTTAAGATGGTGCTTTAAAATTTATGTAAGTTTTACTGATTGTTTTCATTGTTGCCATACTGTTCGTATGGATATATGACACACAATCAATATCAATTAGTTGACAAATTGACAGGACTGTCAGTGGCGATCAGTCTTCCCCAGCCAGGTACCCTTCGGATGTTGTGGCGAGTAGCGCCCAGGATTCCTGGCCGCTGGCCGTGGGGGCAGCGGCGCATGGGAATTGTACACCAAAACACCCGGAAGTTCTTTCCCTTCTATTCCAAGCAAGGATACGGATTGCCGTATTCGCGTATTCATTCACGCGGGGCCACGGCAGGCCATGGCTGAAGCCGAACTGCCCCAATGGATGCGCCTTCTCTTGCAACCTACGGAAGGACCGTGTTGGTGCTCCTTGAGTAGCTTTCTCTGCAGCATTTCATGCTGTTCCTCCTCAGCTCCTGAATCGTTCCAATGAGCTCAAGAGAGCCGCTCAACTACCTGCCGATTTCTGTATTCTCCATCTGCTCTAGCAAGCCTTTGCCCGGAGACCTGTTCTTCTAACCCACCCAGGCAGCACGGATTTCCTCCGTCACCAACCGAAGACAAGTAAGTTCACAGGACTAAATGCTATGCTGTTTTCGAGAGATAACTTTTTCTCCCTTTTGAATTTTTCTTCGAACTTGTAGCCTGAAGAATTTAACCGAGAAGCGTATGTCATGGGCCTTGATTGCTCCTAGTACAAATATTATCATTTTCACTATTCTTGTTATTGTCCCACTAGAATAGGGTTACCTATTTTGATCTACTTTAAATTATTCTTAAGAGCCAAGATAATTCTTCTATCCTGCTCTCTTTCAGGAATCTTGAATACCTCCCTTTCCATGAGTGCAAGAAACATTTGGAAATGATTAGAAGTACTGGGAAATATATGAATATTATCTTCCAAGGCAAAGCTACAAGGAATTTTCAGTATGTGTGTCCTTACTGAATAATATATACATTTTTGTCCATGCTAAAAAAATCTACCACTCCTTGTTAGGAGGGACATCTTTCATTTTCTCCTGTTATATTCCTTCTGTAACACAACAGAACCAAAACACTAGCACCATTAACTCCCAGCTCCATTGTCTCCTATTCATTAATCAACAGAGATATTAATAGAGTAACTGCAGGCTGCAGCCTTATTAAGAATTCATCTTATTCTGCACAGGAAATCAGTACCATCTTCTTGCGTGTTTTAATCTTCTGAACGATCACTCTTCTGCTTCTCCTGGACCACAATATTTAGCTTTTCCTGATGCTGTTCTATCACACCCTTTCGCTACTCTGAGATGCAGAAGCAGTGTTCTGGCTGATACTTCCCAGATCAAAGGAGAAAGTTCATCAACAGAGTTGTGTGGAGGAGGAGCAGAGCTCTATCATTCCTCCAGATTTTCTCCTCAAAATTGCCACTAGACCAGACCCAGGTGGCGCCGATTCCTCCCAGTCCATTAACTCGTGCCGTATTTATGTATTGAATCCCACCGTCTTCCCCTCCAAGCAGCTTGAGGCAGCTTGCTGGATTCTCCCCCCACCTTCTTACCCCAACGAGCCCTTCCGTGATGTCCAGGCTGTGCCTGCGAGGCCCAGTGTCACCCGGGGAGCTCCATTTCTGCGTGGGGACTAAAATCGCCCGAGCTGCGGCCCCGTGCTCTTAACCACACTCCCCGTCTAATTTCCAGTGGCTTTCTGATCCAATGGTATGGTACAAAGACGTTTCTGCCATTTAGCCTAAACACATGGATGGATCCCTTTGAAGTCCATGCAGTTTATTCTGAACAATTCCCAGACTGTAGCCATAGATGGCATTGGTATGGCATAAATATTTTATTTCATAATTAAGACCTGGGGTTCCACTGACAACACCCCGAGGCCACAAGTAGGAATGCGAGGAAGCACGACATGCCAGAACAAAAACCACCCAGGTGCCAACTCCTAAAATCAGACATCGCGGAACAGTCATATATCCATTATCGTTCTGTATTCTGCAAAGACAAGCAGGCCAGCGACTCCCCTTTCCGCCACATACTCGGCCACCAAACTAACATCTGGCATGGCAGCTTTCGTTATCAATAACCTGGTGCTGGTTTTGCTTTGCTGAACTCACACTATTTAATCCTTGAGCACTGAGAAGAAAGTTGCCCGTTTTATCTACAATCCCTGCCTTTTTTGACCGCAGTGGTCCGGCAGGGCCTTCACCGGTGGGGTAATCCCATCTTCGTAGCTGAGCTCACACACCAGCAAGGCAACGCGTCAGCCTCACCCCTCCGCTCGGGTTTCAGACTGGCTGCATTTTATTCTTGAAAACAGCATATATGGTCACTTTAAAAAATGGAAACTACTCCAAGGATTTGGGGAAGTGCGTGCAGGTGACACCAGAGGCCAGAGGTATTCAAACTTTTGGCTTGTTTTGGAGACCTCGGGGGCCTCGTTCCAGTGGTGATCAAGGCCAGAGTCAAAGCAGAAAGTCCAAGAATCGCAGCAAATTTTAACACTTTTAATGCTGGTGTTAAGCCCTTGCAAAGGCATTTCAGCTTTTCATAGTGGAAATGAACAGCATAAAAGGGGGAAGCCACTAATCTATTAGCAGTGGGGGAATGTAGGTGGGACCAGAAAAAGGGGGTACAGCTGTCTGGGGAATTCCAGAGGGTCAGAGTTGACCCACGGACCTAAGCTACAAGGCCTCTGTCATGAGACTCTAACCCTTTATTGCCCCTTTCCTTCATTTCAGCCATGCTCAAAACTCATAGCTCAAGACAGAGCATGTTTCTACCGAGTGAGCTGCAAGTGCTACTAAACTGCCCCAGCTGTTATAGGATCACCCAAGAAGCAAGGTGAAGCAGATGAAAAGCATATACTCGAACAGATGGGGGCAAGATTCTCTTGTTTAATTTCTCTGTGTTATACTTTACAATGGACAAGTAGCACCTTTGACATCGGGAAACTTATAGTTCACCAAATTGAATCAAATACCTGGGCAATACCAAACCATGGAGGGTTGAATCAGGTGCCACCTAACACATTGCAAAGAGCAAAAAGATGCAACGCTTTTCCTTACATGGATGTATTGCATTTATATGAAACAGCAGCCCATAGATTTCTATCTGGTGAGGCTGTTCCTGTAACCCAAGCTGTTAGATTCCATCTTGTGAAACGTTTTTTCACTTTTCAAAGTAAGGCAGATCAAAGACCCTCTACTGAGAAATTAATTTATTTGGCTAGATTTTTAACAGTAGTAAAATGGTTAGAAATACTGGAAAATAAAGATTGAAAATAAGAGTATGCCAAAAATCTGAACAGAACTCAATTGTACTCCCAGTGAAAGAACGCAGAGCAACCAGAATAAATAACAACACAATCGAGCTCATGCAACGCATGGCGTATCTGGGAAAAATATGTTGACTGAAATTTGGGTCCCATTTATTGATAATACAAATAAGAAAGATGGACTGGCACCTCTGACAGCACAGGAAAACCTATCAGACGGGGATTAAGGCAGGACGCTTTCTGCGGCCAGTGACCAAAGGGGGGCGTTCTGGGTTGGCCAAGCCCATCATCTCCCACACTGGCTGGTAATGGAGGGGTGAAGGGTTAGAGGCCATCGCAAGGAAGGACCATCTTTGCTTCGGTGGCATTTCCCATTAAATGTTGGTGTATTTTATACAGTACAACCCAAAGAGTTCGCGCTTTGATACAGCAAACCTTTAAGCCATAAGAGGTGCAAAGCTGTTATTTAGCACAGACCCATGGAAGGCGGCCACTGAAGGAAGCCTCGGGCAATTCAAGATGGAGCTCGGGCAATTACTGCCGTTGCCTCCTTCCCAGATTCTTCTCTGGTGAGGAGAGACAGAAAGGCAGGGCTACTGTCGAGCGCGACAAACAGCATCACAGCTGCACCCCGAAAGCCTCCTCTGGGAGCACAAGAGTCCGTTGCGCACAAAATAAAGTGCAACCACACAACTGGAGACCTGGTTTGCACACAGGGTGCGAACTCCTTCCTGAGAACAGGTACCCAACGGATGGCGCCTTCCTTAAGCCCCCTTGTCAGACCTGTGGACCCCGCAGAGAAGCACCTTTGCAGGTAAATGAAAGTCACCTGTTAACGCAGGATGTAGTTTGACCTTCCACCAAGGGAGCCTCTTCCCCCTTCCCGGCCCAGCTGACTTTTCTCAAATGCACCATGTCAAACACTGTTTCTTTCCGCACGGCCGCCTTTCCATAACGGGCCACGTGTCATTTGGTCAGGAAGAACAGCGCACGGGAGATGGGCAGGGAGGAAGGCGAGCGCCCAGACAAATAAAATGCCGACTGGGAAAAGAAGTGGAAAAGCAATGCCGTCCAGCCACGTTTCAGAGGGTTCCTGTAGCCACGGAGCAGATACCTCTGCAGCATGTGATGGAGAAGGGAGCATCAGGTTGGCCAGATTGTGGGATCATGTACTAGTATTGTGAGCAGTTACTTCTTCGGAGTTTGCGGTTCGACCGTGGCCACTTGCCTGGGAAGGCGTGGGCTGCTCCACTGGCGCTTCTGACCCCCCGTGGTCTTTGTTCTCCTGCCCTTTACCGGCAGCCTGTGGGGCCGTATCCTGCATGCCCACGGCAGCAGGCCTCTGCGACTCCGCCGCTTGCCTCCGGGCTTCTGCCTCCTGCTGCTGCAGCATCTGCTCCGCTTCCACCTCCAGTTCCAGGTTTTCTGCCTCTGCCGCCACCTCCAGCTGCCGCATCAGCTCCTCCAGTCTCCTGGCCTTGCGGAGCTCGTTCTGCTGTATGATGGTGCACAGGTGCTCCGTGAGCTGCTCCTTGATCCCCGTTTTCTTCTGCAGATCCAGCTTTGCGGCCACGTACTCCGCTTCTGCCTTATCGTAACGCTTCCTGAAAAGAGAAGCAGCCGTTCTACCGCAATTATTCCCGGAAAATCTCTGCACGCTCCACGAACGCGGTTCATTGCAGCCTGCAGAAACAAACTACTCAGCAGAAGAAACTGGGGGAGGGGGGCGCACACTAAATGGATGGGAGAGACCACAGAATTGCGCCAGGCCGGCTCCTGGCGTCACCCACCTCTCCGCCGCCTCGAAGCGTTCTTGCTCGGGGTCCAAGCCCAGGTGCTGCAGTGCCACTCAGGACCCTCCTTTTCAGGGAAGACGTCCACTTCCTTCCACACACCTGCCCCAGGCCCCCCTTCCCATTCTACTGGTTCTTGACCTGCAGGATTTCACGGGGGGGGGGCTCTGAACAGCACAGAAGGAGAAAGGGGTGCTTTCCCCTCCTCCCCGCCCAAACACCCCCACGGCACAAGGACCTTCAGCAACTCTGTTCGCCACGGTGAGCGACAAGACTCCTTCCCAGCTCTGAAGCCCGAGAGGCAGGCGGGGACCACCTTGGCAAGCTCGCCACAATCCCCGCCCTCGCCCCACACACCCCTCTCAGTGAAAGGGAGCCACCAGCACCCACTTCTGCTCCCATCCCATCCTAGGAATTTGTTTGCAGAGATGAAAAATTCCAAAGTAAACAAACAAACAAAAGGACATTCTACAGACACCTGAAATTGATTCCTCGCAAAAGGTTCTTTTCAGCAGGGAGACTGAACTAACACTGAAACATTAGGGAAAGGCCTCTGCCCTAAATCTGGCCACGTAAGACATGTGGCTACCAGCACAGCCGCCTTCCAAACTTCGCTTTGTTTCTGTCCGGTGTGCCGTGTCGCTCCTGGATGTGCTTGCTATTCCAGGAGGAAAAATCTACAGTCACCGTGAATGCAGCAGTGCTTCCGAGCAGCCTGCAAGCGATGCCCCCAGGAGCGATGGAAGCAGACGCGGGCAAGATGCACTTTCCGCAAGAAAGCATTTCACGCTGGAAACTTCAGGCAGACTTTGCTCTTTACTAGAACCCTAAGATCCACTAACCTGGAGCTACAGTTTAGAGTTAGAATTTAAAAATCCCATGGCCACGAATTTATTTTGAACATTGCAACGAAGTGGAGCTCACAGCCCGTCCACACAAAAATCCCACTTTGGTTCCCTCAAGCTTTCTGCATTTCAGCAGCTAGATTTAGGGTGTGGATTACTTCAGTCATCATTTTGATTGAACCACTGGGAGTTAGAAATCCATTCCTCTCCAGTTGAACACCCACAGATCCGGAATGACCAATGATGCAAAGTCATGCATTTCATTTGAAAAAGAAACCAGCTGTGCCCAGGATTACCAGTCTAGCAACCCCCCTCAAACAGGAGCTCCCAAAATGGATCAATCCTTTCCTCAGGCAGACTCCTAATCTGCTATCTGAACGCCTTACCGGGCACACGAGTAGTCCCAGCTTGCCTGCTCAATCTTGTTCCTCAGGATCCCAATGTCGGCAGAGACCATCTCATCGAGGGCCTGGAGCTGTTTCTGGATCCGGCTCAACTTCACTGTTTCCGCCTGAGTTCTTTTGGACCTGGGAAGAAAAAGGGAGTTTGCTTTCTGCAATCTCTTCTTGCAGGGCACCGTGTCTTTCAAGACGCTGTATGATTGGACGTTAAAACCACTCAAAGGTTTGCAAGCATTTCAGAAAAGCTTTCAAGCATTTCAAACAACCTTCAGTCAAGCAGCTTGTGCTGTCCCAACGAAAAAGGAAACAGATTATGCCTGTTTTAAATACAACCTGTATAAGGTGCTGTTCATCTATGAATATTCAATGGCATTTAGCACTGCCAACTCAAATATGGGCAGCCTTATCTTTCTGGACAGCTTCTATGGCAAATTTGCAAGCGTGTTAAAGGGCCACTTCAGAAAAACGAAGTAACTGAATGCGATAAACTCAAGCGGAGTCTCGCATGCCGAAGATCAGGACTTCAGTCCTCACCAAAGTGCATGGAACGTTCCCTTTTCTCTGAAATAGCAGCATCTTACAGTCCTCATGAACGTATCTCTTGTTGCTTTCAAGAGAACTCGGAGGAACGTGCTTGGGCCTGCAGGCTTAGTTACACGGAGAAAAGGAGCAGCGAGCCGCTTTTGGTCTACTCTGCATCTTCCAAGGTGTGGCCTGCAGGCTTCCATCTACAACGTCACATGGGAAAGGGCTGCGTATTAGCGCTGAGTAACTGAAGGTTTCCTAGAATCTATCAGCATAGTTCAGGAAAAACAACATGATGTCTTTTTGGTTTACCCAAATCTTTTTTAAGAGTCTCCACACCTTTCGGCAATCGCTTTAGCCAGGAGCGCTTTCTTGCGTTTGTTCTTTTCTTCCATAAGTTTCTGCTCCTGTTGAAGGATCTCCCATCGAGACTTCTCCTGCCTGACAATTGGCAAAACATCAAAATTAACAAGGAGTTGCCTTTCTTCTCCCTCCTCTCCAAAAAAGCCCTCGGAGCAATTAAGAGCACCATCTCCTGCATCTTTCGAAAGAAGATGCTCTGCAACGCCAGGCGTTCCCAACCCAGTTACTGCATCTTGCAACTGCGTCAGAAACACTCAAGGAGCACAAGCTCCTTGCTTCACCGCCGGGCCTCATTTTAGAAGACAGACCCTTCTGACATTCCTCAGTACTCAGCTGCATCCCAACATAGTCCAGGACACTCCACTTCCACCCCAAATTCCCAAAAAGATTCAACCATTGCACGGCATCCTAATTTGTGCACATCAGAGAGAAGGAATGCAATGCGCAAGCTAAACGCTTTAAGGGATCCCGAGGTGCTAACGGCAGGAAGCCCCATCAGCCGGGTGACCCACGGAGCACCTGTGGGCCTGCACAGCCCCCCACCTCCATTGCTACTGCAGTAGGAGTCCCGCTGGAAACTGCCTGGCAGACCGTCGGGGTGTGCAAGATCTAGTGTGCAGCCCCCATCGCTGCTTCTCTGGGGAGACGGAGCAAGGAGGGGCAGCTTCCCTTGCGTGTGGTTTCTGCACACAATGGAACATCCAACGGCCACCAAAAAGACGTTTGGTGGGATGCTGGGAGCCTCGTTCCGCTGCCGCAGAAGGCACGTGTGCTCAGCCGCCTGGCTTCCTGGCAGGATCGCGAGTATTTATTTATTCATTCATTCATTCATTCATTCATTCGCTATCTATTTATTTGGTGGGAGTGTCCACCACAGAGTGATGAGGAGGGGCACAGCCCTCATCAGATTCCAGAGACGACGCAGCCCCAGGCTCCAGAAGTTGCCCACCCCTGAAATAAAGAATGGATCATCCATTAGACCTTGTACAGGACTCTGCAGCAAACAATATACTAACCTTGCGTGAAATAGGAATGGCACCCTTTGAATGCACTCGCTCGTAACAAAAAGCTATTTAATTTCACTTGTATTAAAATGTATTATCAAGATGGCATCTCAACCATCGACTGTCACAAAACTTACTAAATCCTGTTTTGCTAGTATGTCAACAGTCAACAGAAAAGGGTCCAAAACAGCCAAGTTTACTATACTAGCCACTTAAAATAGAATTATACAATCCACTTATCTATTGGATGACTTATTTCCTCTGCACCAGAAAGTTATTCAGCTCTTTGGACAGCGATGACTATTTGAAGAGGCACTCTTGAAAACAGGATCTTTGTGTGGCTTAGAGAGGAGGAAGACCTTGACTCAACCCTAGAATCACATGCTGTACATGAAAGAATCCATTCTTGGTATCTCCGTCTATGGCTGGGAAACAGCCATTCCAAACACCAAAGCAGCTTGACCCGACCTAATGCCTTCCCTGGGTATTATGGGGTGGCAATTCTCATCCCCTCTGACTCATCTGACCAGTGCAGACTGGGCTTGATGGAGGCCGCAGTTGCACAGACCCGGCGGGCCAGGGGAAGCCACTCACCCAACGCATCCATGTTCAGCTGGTCAGAGCAACGCTCTGACTAGGAAGCCACGTGTCTCCTCTGTCCGTATCCTTAGCATCAGTGGTTTCACGCCATGCTCAGCTAACCATCGGGCTGGCTGCGAGAGCAAGAGCTTTCCCTTCCAGAGACAGGAGACCAGCCAGCCTGACTCCCTCCACCAACCTTTCCTTGCAATGTGCAGCTACACAAGAATTCTGGGAGACCTCTCTGTTCCGCTTCATAGGGACACCCCACAACATGCCCCCAAATCTATTGCCAAGGCACTTGGGGGGCAGGTCAGTGGCCATCGGGCAGCCTGGGCACCATTTTGTTCTACACACCATGAAGCAGTTTCTACACAAGCTAAATCTTGCAAAGAAAGACACAGAACCAGGCATTTTGCCTGCAGTTAATTGAAGGCCTCCAAAATGATCCACAAAGCCAACGAGCAGATGAAATTCAGCCGTACACAGAAAGGCTTAGCAAGGAAATTATTGTTCATTGCTCAAAAAAATCCTGCAAGAACAGCGTGTCTCCCAGTTTACTCTACAAGCTTGCATTTAACTGATCAGGTATGATTCAATTTTTGTAGTTTCTATTACAGACTTACTAACAATTCCATTTTCTTTGTCACCAGGTGATGGTTTGGCTCTGTAGAGGGATCACCGTTGCAAGACTTCTCCAGTGCAGGTTCAACCTGCTGGTTTCTGGGATTCTCCTGCTCTCCAGCTGATGAAGACTGAGGTGGGGATCGCTGGGGAGGAGACTCTGATATAGACCTGGGAATCTGGGGTGCCAGGGCTGCTCCAACCGGCACTTCCATCTTCTCACTTGGTTCCTGAACAGGCCGTTTCCGCTGCAGGTGTTGGTGGTGGGATCTAGGCCAGGATCTAGGTGGTTTACTTCGCTGCTGCTGTTCAAGAGGAGACTCTGATGGGTCTAAGTAGCACAGATTTTAAAAGGCAGACTTTTACTTGGGGCCGGGGCAGGAGACATCACAAGAAAGGTACACAGGGCTTCTTCATTTGCATGCTCATAGAGACTGATTTAAAAGCCCAAAGGACTTTAAAATGGCATGGCACTGTTAGACATTCATTTGCCCCCCAACACGATCGTGGCAGATGCGGAGACGGGCAAGGCACGAAAAGGGCCACACCTAGTCGGAAAGGGCCTTGCACAATCCGGGCACAAGGAGCGGCAGCACCAAAGCACACCCATGCCCATGCACTGGCCCTCCCGGCGCGCCCATTCCCAAGCGCCGGGCCTGGGGGCTCCACCGCGCCGTTGAGAGGCTAGGCCGCTCCGAGCAAAGGCGAGGCACGCCGCGCCCGCCCGCGGCCCAGGCCGGGCCCTGCAGCGCGGCCCGCGAGGCTCTCGCGCAAACCCGCGGGGGCGGGAAGCTCCCGGGCATCGACCACGGGCCAGGCCAGGATACCGGCGGGGCGGCTGCGGCTCGCCACGGGGGCGGAGGACGCGGCCGCGGCCCCCGCTCTGCCGGCGCACGGAACGGAACGGAGCCGAGCCTCGCCGCGCCCCCTGCGGCTCTCCTGCGGAGCCCCGGCGCGGGCCACGGCGAGCGGCTGTCCGGCCTCGCTGGCTCCACGCACAGGGCCCCCCGGGCGCAAGGCTGGAGGCCGCCCGGAGGGCCCGCGCTGCGCCGCGCCCGGACGCGGCCGCTCCTGG